TGTGTGTGTGTGTGTGTGTGTGTGTGTGTGTGTGTGTGTGTGTGTGTGTGTTGGGGGCAGAATGAGGGATCTAAGTGAAAGCTGAAACCTGGACCGCGGTCAGAGTTGACATTTCTAGATCCAAAGTTCGTCTGTCTGTCTGTCTCTATTTTTATCTTTCCCCTTTTTAACCTTCTCTCGCCTCCCCCCCTCCCCCGGCTCTCCTCTCCCCTTCTTTATTATTATTGATTTATTTTATTTTTAAGGCTGTTTTTTTTTTTAATATTTATTTAAGGGAGGTGGACAACAGGCAGCAGGAAACACACAGGAGTTAGCACTCTATAGGTTTGTTAGGTGTCTTTAATTTGAGAAACAGGTTTGGCTATGTCCTGGCTAGGGAACCAGACACTAGAGAGGAAAAATAAAGCATTTCTAAAAGGAAAGGATTGGATCTAGCTTTAAAAAATAATCGCTGAAATGAAGGAAGAGGAAGCTGTCCATCTGTCAGTGACCCTCCCCATATCCCCTAAAAACTAGCTCAAGAGACAGGATCGAGCTTCTGTCAGCTCCAAGTTACCACAGGTAGTGATGTTTAAAGAGCATTAGTTCTCAACCTGCGGGTCACGACCCAATTGTGGGTCACACGACCCTTTCACAGGGGTCACATATTAGATATCCTGCATATCATATATTTACATTACTATTTATAACAGTAGCAAAATTACAGTTATGTAGTAGCAATGAAAATAATTTTATGGTTGGGGGTCACCACAACATGAGCTGTATTAAAGGGTCACTGCATTTAAAAAGGTTGAGAACCACTGCCTTAGAGGAATGCCCAAGAATCCTTCTCCTGCCCAAAGCAGAAAACTCAAGGGAAGTGCAGTGGAGGTCCAGTTTGTGGTGGACAGCCAGGCAGCCAGCCCAGGGGCAGTGAATTGGAAAGCAGCATCTTTCCAGTTCCAACCTCAGAAAACACTTAGCGGCTTCCTTGCTGGCAGCTCAGCCTGACTTCCGTCACCCTGCGAAGTGAGCAGTATCGCCCCGACTTTACCACTTGCATGGAGGCTGATTCCAGACAGTCTTGCCAGGCTGAGCTGGGGTTGTTTGGCTTCAGCTTCTGCCTATTTTGCCAAGTCTTTGAAGTCCTCCTGGCACCCGCCCCCCTTACAGAGGTGGAGGTGGAGCTGTGTCTAGTGCTATGATTGTCGTGGGATTTTATCCAGACATTTCCCCTACAAATGAAGGGGTGGAGGGCAGGGTAATCAACGATAGACTTTTCTGGAGGGGCAGTCTGGGTTCCAGCAACTCACAATTTGAACAGGCGTTGCCTTCCCATTGAACTTTAAAGTTTGTAGTTCCTGTTTATCTCTGTGGAGGAAATTTCGATGATTCATATCTGCCAAGACACTTTCAGAAACTGACCTGAATAGGACAGGTACAGAAACCTGTGACATGTTTCTTTTGTCTCCCTTTCCCCCAATTTTGAGGTTTTCTTGAAAATGATAAGCACCCACCATTGTGTTTACTGCCCCTGTGTTTGCAAACCCCTGTGGTGACATCATTCTGAAAGAAATCCAGAAGAGTGATTTTTTTAAAAAACTCCATTAAAATTTCACTATTGTATTCTCATTTCAGTCTATTAGCCTTCCAAATCACTATAAACTGAGACTCTACACTTTTTCCCCCCTAAGTTAAGGGGAATGCTTTCCCATCGCATTCCTCCAAGCTACCCTAAAACGCAAAGGAGACGACTCAAAAATTAACAACCAGCTAATCATAAAATTGGGCCAGTGTGTCTAGTGTTCTTCCTGAGTTTTCACAGAAGTAAATGGCACCATGGGTTCTAGCTCGGGCCTTGGTTCTGTAGGTTGACCTGTGTTTACGTGGCTCTCTGCTCACCTCAGAGGCAAAGGTGAAGAGCAGAGCCACTCGCCGTCTAGAAATGCGGTGGAATGGGGAAGCACCAGAATGAAGCTTTAGATGACCTTAATTAGAAGTTATCCTTGCCATTTGCTATAAAACACACAGGCATTTTCATGTCTTGGTGTCCATGCTCTGGGAGAAATAAGGCTTTTGTTGGGCAAGAGCCTTGAGTCGTTTTTCTCAGTTTGATTAGGACAGAAAAATAAATCCCACATAGTTCCTTTCTCTTACACGATTTATAGACATTGCAACTTACAAGGATTTTAATTTTGTGCAAACTATTTTAAAATTCTCCAAGGTAAGGGGTCATGGCTACTTTTTTTTTTTTAAGGATTTGCATCTGAAGCCAATTTACTCATTTCGTGCACCTTGTATGGTACTTTCACAAAGTTAGCAGTTGAAGGAGCAACAAGACCTATCGAGTTCTCCGCTAGGACTGATGGTTATACCCTCAACAGAGATTAAAGCCAAATTGGGTCACATGGGAAAAACAAAAGCCTTGTGATGCTTTCCCCCACTCATCCTGTTGCTCTCTCTTTGAACTGAAGGCAAAGTATTTCCGAAGAAATGTGAAAAGCTTCACAAGTGTGAATGACCAGGCCCCAAGGGAAGATGCTGATAAACCAACATGGAGACATACTTGGATTTCCATTTGTAATGTAATTGACCCACATCACCTGTCTGTGAGCATAGCAATAGCTACCGTTTAGGAGGTGAAAAAGCACTGTATGATATCTGGACTTCCCATGTGGTGTCTCAGGAGTTTGGAATGGGGGTATCTGTAGGTGGATTTTTCTGTCCTGCCTGCCGGCTCTCAAATAACCACATGGAGACTTCTTATTAATTATGAAAGCTTGGCTGATAGTTTAGGCTTGTTTTTTCACTAGTTCTTATAACTTAAATTAACCCACATCTTTTCATCTACATCCTTTTACATGTCTGTTACCTTTACTTTGTAAAGCCCATTCTGTTTCCTCTCCATTTCACTTGTGACTCTGCCCTTCTTCTTCCCAGAGTTCTCTCTGTCTGGCTCTCCTGCCTAGCTAATGACCATCTAGCTTTTTATCAAACCAATCAGACGGCGCTTTGGCAAAGACACATCTTTACAGTGTACAAAAAGATTATTCCACAGCATTTCCCCCTTTTTGTCTAAATATAAAGGAAAGGATCTAACTTTAAGACAGTAAAACTATATATAATAAGAACAATTATCAGGTAAGAATTACATTTATAATGTCCAGTCCATTTGTATTGGCATATTTGCAGAAAACACTCTATTATTTATTCTATCTTGATGAGTCCAAAGCGCTTTACCTAATTTACCTTCTATCATAACTGAGGAAAACTATAACTATGATTATCTAGTCTTAAATTCTATCAAAGACACCAGAAGGATATAATATCACCTAAGTCAACAGGAAGTTCAGTGCAAGCCACTTTCAAATCTATAGAAATGACAGACATCTGGCTGCCTGGATAGTCACCCAAGGTTCCTCTGCAACACTGGGGCACCCAATCTTCAGCCTACAGGCCTATAACATCTGACAGACTTTTCTGTGAAGTAGGAACTTTTGAAGGATTGTCCTACCCTGTCTTGGCAAAGTTCAGCAGTTACCTCCTTTTGTGTCCTGCTGATCCAGTTTGGATTGCATACTGTCAGTAGTCGAGGCAAGGGCAGTTTCTTACCCAAATGGCTAGCTTTTGCCACAAAGAAAGCAAACTCCATATGGAGGTTCTTCAATGCCCATCATCCTTTTTGAAGTAAATTGGTGCTGCCTGGAGCAGATTTGTCTCACTGTCATGAAAAGCCTTATGTTATTAAAACATTTTAAATGTCATGTTCTTCAGGTCTTTGAAAATCACCTATCTAAAACATATCTCTGTATGACCTTAAAAACATACCTAACATGACTATAAGTTTGATAGTTACAGATGACTACTAGCCTGTATTATCCTAAATAGCTTTCAAAGATTAAAACTTCACATAATCTTTTTTTTTTTTTTGAGACAAGGTTTCTCTGTGTAGCTTTGTGCCTTTCCTGGAACTCACTTTGGAGACCAGGCTGGCCTTGAACTCACAGAGATCCACCTGCAGTGGGAGGCAGACATGTAATCTTTTTAAATGAGATGTATCTTAAACA